ATAGTCTCGTAACTACGCCGTGCAAATCTGATCAGAAATGGACAGTAACGCCCGTCATAATACGGTACGTCTATCCCATGACGAGGCTGCAAATTGCTGTGGTTTTCATCAAGAGCACCTCTCGGACATGATCTTTTCTATTCACACAAAATACTTTTTATTGTCATGTTGACACGTGATCGTCAACGTGTTTCCTCGCGCGATCGTAGTCTGCTTTGTGTTTATCCTATCATACGCTCGTCTCTTGCATTGTTTTCATCATTCTTATGCGCAAAAATATCACATCAGTGGTCTAATTTTCACCGAAGCATTAATTCACGTCTAATGCAGCGTGAAACCAAAATTTAAGTTAATAAAAATCTATGTTCATTTCACTGTCGCTTCGATTCACAAGGTCTTCTAACGGAAACAAAGCTACTGCACCAAAGTGAAATCAATTGACGATTTCGATGGAAATTAAACTATTGTTATTTATGATCCAGAAAAACATGTACATAATAGTTACTTTTCATTTACATTAAAACTCAGATAATTCTTATTTATGAAATCATAACTTGAATGAATGTTCCTTTTCATTCTGACAAGTAAGATTCAATTTAATTTTTATCTACAATTTACAATTTACAAGTTTGAGACTGCATATTTTACCGAATCTTATTAAATCATATTAAAAAGAAGAGATTGTAATCTTGTGTTATTATGCAATAACTTTATTACTAAAGTAAGCGATATTACTATCTCAATATAAAATAATTATAACTATATGTATTATTTGAGTAAAAATTGAAAGCAATCAATATGTACATTTTGATTAGAAAAATTTTTGTTAGTTCTTATGGAAGGCACAATGTTCAGAGAATAATAATGCTTTACTGAGTTTTTTTTTCATAATAAAATAATGTGTCATTCTATATCTATTATTCACTTGAATGTTATGAAAGATATAATGATGTTTGTATTAACTTGAGTCAATAAATGGAAAGCATCCAATACTTTGTAAAATATATGGATTAAAATGACTTTTGTTTTATGCATTATTTCACAGCCACCTCAAGCAGATACAGATACTGGTGGCGAAACATCAAGTCAAAACGAAATTCCTACGGTTACTGTAGCAATGCCATTTATGCAAGTCGACATGCTTGGACATTCTGGAGCGTCCACTGCTGCTGCACACTCTACAACGACAAACCGAATGGTATTATATTGTAATATAATATAATAAATTTATTCATTGTAACTGAATTGATTTACAGTATATTAGTTATTTTAAAAATGGAATAGAAATTTTAATGTCGTTTTAGAACAGACAATACACAAAGGACAAGCCTATTATTACATAATAATGTTATATAAATTATATCAATTTTATATAATTTATGTAGTCTACGTAATGTTTTATGTAATTTATTTTAGTTTAATATATATAATATTTGATTTATATAATATATAATATTTGACATAAATGCATTAAAAAATTATATAATATTACATAATACAATATGTACAATTTTATATGATTTGAATAACTATTAACCGAGTAAAATTTAGGCTGATGGGGAAGAGATTCCACCTCCGAAACTAGATTTCTCTGCACCACCACCCTATGAAGTAGCTACAAAATTACCCAGTTATGAAGAGGTTCAGCGTGAAAAGACTCTACAGGGAGAGCCACAACCTCAAGTACACATGGTATACAACTGTATTCAAGAAAATTTTAATATATATGTTTATTTTAATATATTTCGAAATATTCTGTTTTTAAGGAGCTCTAAATCTCTTTTTACAGTCAGGAAATATTAGACCACCACAGCAGCCTTTAACAATATTGGCAATAGATACTGAAGCTGCGGAAGGAGATCCAGAAAGTGGGCTACTTGGCACAGATTTTATGTTCTTCACAGCGTTTCTTGGTGGGATATCTTTATATTTTAAGTTAAAGTTTAAATCGATAAGAATTTAATAAGAAAATATATCTTCATATTACAAAATCTAATATCTTCTATAATGGAATAATTGGATAATTTGCACTAATTTTTCTTTACAGTCGCATTTTTATTCAACTGGATCGGATTTTTATTACTGATGTGTTTTTGTCACACTATTGCTTCTCGTTACGGTGCACTAGCTGGCTTTGGACTGTCTCTCACAAAGTGGACACTCATTGTTAAACACTCTACCGATCTTGCTTCGCGAGAGAATTCATGGCTATGGTGGTTGATAATGGCATTTGGTTTGTATAACGTTTAAGAAAGATAATTAAATTTATAAACGAAAAATGTTTTAGACTAAGGCAACTACTAAGAAGATAAATTTTGATGCGATTTATTTTTCCAGGTGTTTTAATTTGTGTACGTGCCATCATTCAATATTTAAACATCAAACGAGGATGGAGATTACTGTCCGGAAGCGCACAGGAGCGTTTACTTTTTTTTTATTAAAAATCATAAAATCTGCACCTTTTTTTCTTTATCAACTTGGCTTTAGAACAAACAAGCATTTCTATGTGGGGTCATATTTGTATAATATATAATCGACTTTCTCTCTTAAGAGAGAGCATCGTGTAGATCGTAATATTTGTCAATCGTATCTATATAGAACAAAAATGAGAACTTTAAAATGATTTGCCAAATTTACTGTGTAAAACGAATTAGTACGACTTAAAAAAATAGTGAAAAGAATTAACTCGTTTTTCGCATATACTCATATATGGAGGATCTACAAACGTTATTTTATGTGATGTTATATATAGACTACGGAAAAAAAGCAAATGTACATTTTTATTGCTCAAAATAATACAAACAATGCTTTAAATTAATGATTTTGTTCATTTGAATGCAAATCACTGAAGAAGATAAATGTGCAGAGCGCATGTCAAATCGCAATTTATGAAAAACTGACAAGTCAAAATGAATCGCGTAAAGAGATAAAATATACGATTCGTTATTATTTCGAAAAAATAAATTATAAATAAAAGTTTTTTAATAGAATATAATACATTTCTAATGTTAGAAAAGCTTCTAGAGATTGATTACTTACTAAATATGATAAGAGTATATTAATATCTGGCTTGTTTATATAGATATTATAATTTATATATACATAAAATATATATAGCGAGAATTCTTATTGAAGAAGAATTCTGAAAATATAAATAAAAATGATAAATATTACATATGTGTATTAAAATTTATTATATAAAGCGATATGCGAGTACATGTTATTCTGTGAGAAATTTCATTGTTATACTCATTACAACGATAAAACGAAGGAATACTTAGAAATTTATATTTTTCCCCCTCCTTATGTTACAAAAATCGTAGTTCTTTGAATTTTGGAAAATTTTTGAACATTAGGAAAATTATTAGAGTTGATCAAAAATTTTTTTTGATAAATATATATCATTGTTACCAAAGTTATGTACAAATATATTAAATTATAATTGATATATCAATTTATTAAACAATTAAATTCTTAACTCGGTTTTTTATACACGTGTTAGAAATAGAATTTAAATTGGTCATGTTATTAGAATAACTTAAAATTGATTTATAAGTAGTGTTAATATACGAATGTTTTCTGGGACATTAAATGTCTTTTGATAGTTTTACAAAACATAAAAATTTTTTAAATATCTATTAGATGGTTTTAAAAAGATTATTAAATATGTGTCTGTTAGATTATTTTAAAAAGTTAATTATGTTTTCAAGAAAATTATATATATTTATTTTGTATACTTTAATCCTGGAAAAGGATTTTCAAATCTGTGAAAGAGAAAAAAGTAATTGTTATACAAAAATTATTGCGTTTAGTCGGTATAATATTATCGATGAGAATATATCTCGTCGGTGATAATACGATTTTAGGATCGCCTTAAATCTTCGCTAATCGGAACTTGGATCTGCGTTAACTAGGATTCAAATTTCCGCTAACTATGTTTCGAGTATTCGCTAATTAAGGTTCAAATTTTTATTGACATTGAACGAGATTGAATCTTCACCAAATCGGTTAATATATACTATCTAATACATTGCTTCGCAAGAGGTCCCATGGTGTAATGGTTAGCACTCTGGACTCTGAATCCAGCGATCCGAGTTCAAATCTCGGTGGGACCTAATCTTACTTTTTTGAAACTACAATAATTTTTTATTGAAATAGTAATATTTAAAATAAAAATAAAATAAATATTTTACATGGATACATTTATATATATATATATAATT